CAGCTGTGCGGGTCGCTGCGGCCTCTGCGTGGGCCTGCGGCCTCCGCGGGCCCGGAGGAGCAGCATCGCCCCCTTCCCCGGCAGAAAGAGGTTCATGCGGTTGGGGTTCAAAGGCGCTTCCAGACGTGGCTGTATCCGTTTCCCCCCCGTAACTTGTGCAGACGGGACGGCGTTGAGGCGCACCGCGGGGGTTATTTTCAGAGGAAGATGGGCAAAGAAACCTGGAGAGCTCTGAGGAGCTTTGGACCCTCTATTTGTTTTCTTTCTGGATGTTTCCATTAATATATTTTTTCTGAGGTTAAATGATAAGTATTCATGTAACCTGACTGTACGTGAAGCTTTTTTTATTTTTTGGCCACACATTGTCAAACATTGTAGAAAAACCACATATTTTTAAATAAACAAGTTCTGATGAAAAATAAACCATTTACTCTTGCATCACATCACATGAGAAAGCGCTACTGACACTTGAGGTGGCACTTTATAGAATATCTGAGACATTGCAATAGACGTATGCAAAGATCACTTTCAGATAATGAAGTGTGCAAACCTGATGATGTGATATAAATATGATCATGTGTATAGATACATACATCCGTATAGCTATGCACATAGATACGTATTTACATAGATACATATGATCATACACAATGATAATCTGCACATTAATTTTGTTTAGAAAAATATATACTGATAGAAATACTACTTTTTAATATGCTAAGTAAAGATCAGTGTTGGTGACTTACATTTTCAAAAAAATCTTGGCATTGGGAGAAATAATCAAAATCAATATAATACATATCATTTGGCATAATTTGTAAACATGCCAGTGTGTTTCTGTTCTCTTGCTGGCAATGGAATTTCAGAAGTCAAAGCAGTTATTCCCTTTACACACTCTTTGGAGAATGTTATCTAGCCATGGGTGCACAGTAATAAAAATAAAAATCAAAGGCTAATTTTCAACCATTTTAATTCTAGTAGAGATGAAATCATTCCATTATCCATTCTGGAATGAGTTCCTGTTTGTACCTGAATTACAAGGGAGATTTTGCCTTGCATGTGCGAAAGGCCCAATGTTTTGTTCTCTACAGGATCCATAGCCCTGAATTGTGAATTAACCATCTCCATCACACATTTGCTTTGGCACCGCAGTTTAGGAGCTGTGGCTTTGGTGTCTCATAGTCAGCACAGATGAAATT